ATTTGTACAGTGTCCCAACTTTTTTGGAATTGGGTTTGTATGTGGTACAACACAGTGACAGGTTGATGGATGACATGAAGCACAAAAATAGTATATGATAAGAGTGAATAATAACAGCCGACTCTATTTATAGAAGAAGTACTCAGAGACACAGAGTACCTGTCATTTGCTCATGATGTCCACTGTAATGGAAGTGGACATGACCCAAATCATTGACTCACAAGCTCAAAATACTCATCAAAGGTGTTCTGGTTTTATTCGGTTTTAAAACAGTGTTTTATTCACCCAACACAACATAGTTTTACAGTTAGAAAATATACCTTTTAATAACAATAACAATCAGTTCAATTAATAGGTTTCTGTTCTAATTGTTTGTCATACAATGAGCTCCAAATGTCTGAGACAACAAGACAAGTTTTTAAAAAAGTATAGTATTTGGTATTTTGGTATCCTTTTAATTTCATGACAGCAGTATTTGAGCTACATGAACTTCACAAGTTTGTTTAAAACCTGATGCTTATGTTCTCCAGTATGATTTAAATGACTCAAAGAGCATCTTGAACTTCAATTGAAGCAAGAACATCTGAGTGTTTGCAGAAAGAGCCACGTGATCAATGTAACAAATTTGATTAAGTTTAGTGACATCGAAATGCAGAATTTAAACCTTTCTTATTCATTTAAAGACATATTTTCCTTTCTTACTGTCAAAACCCTAAAATATTCTCTTTCTTTACAGATTTAAATTAGATTTTGACTCACAGATGTTCAATGTGGACCCCACTGTATATTGTAAGGTGATATGTATTTAGCAGGGAATTGACGTTAGCAGTGCATTTGTCTTAAATGTTTCGAATACATCTGACAGGATTAAGTTCCACTCAAGTCTAATGAGAAGAAATGAGAGAAGGTCATGGAGGAATGACAAAGCAGGACTAACCAACTATTATTAAGGTCATTTATCACAGAGAAACAGATACAGCAGGAGAGGAAAGATCTAAATTTTGATCTCTGTGCGGAACGTCTGTGCGTGCTCCAGTTTTGCAGTGTTTCTCTGTGCTTTTATAGTGAGAGTCCCATCAGCCCCTAAACATGACTTCACCGAGGTGGGGTCTACATCCTCTGGTAGCTGGCATTTATGAGTAAAAGTGTTCATCACTGTTCCATCAGTAGCAAGCTGTTGAATAAAATACATACATAGGGGAATGAATGATATTCTGAAAATTCATTTGGATTATGCAGAGGCCTGTGTCTGTTTACCTTTTCAGCATGAACTTCAATCTGATTGTTTGAGGTGGTGACAATCACATCCTCAGGTGAGAAGTCTCGGACATCCACTGTGAATTGATATGTGTCTCCCAGAGTCTTGATGTTTCCATCTGTTTCTGTTCTGTCTAAAGGGAAAAAAAATACAATCTAATATTATTATATGGCTCTCAGGATATCGCCAGCAACTCGCTCTCTCTTGTTTCATACAAACGCAACTGGTGCCCTCTTGTATCTCAATTATGTAGGCCTACTGTGTATAAAAAAAAACAGATGTTAGGGATCTATTAATTGGCCTATTGTAAATTGTTGCAGTGTTGTTACTAAGCGGATTGTTTTGTCGCCGACATTTTACAGGTTTGGTCACATGTACCATTGTTTGGCGAATTTTCACGGGCCAAATCCAATCATTTCAATGCAAATCCACACAAGCGGTAATTTTGCAAGTGCGAAAGATTTCCCCACACTGATTTTGCAGCAGGTTCAAGTTGGTAATGTGGATTTGCCACGTTTACTAACGTTAACAGAAAGCTGCTTGGTTTGAAAGTGACTTTGTTTGTCAGCTGTGCTTCATCGATTCGCTACACTATCAACTATGGACCTTAATGGACTACTTATTAATTAGTGAAAGGGTAAAATAATATACAGCCAAGCATATAGAATTGAATCAGATCAAATCAAAATTCCCCCCATGTATTTAGACATTATCAAAGACTACTTTAATATGGCTGATTTGTAGATTGTACCACAGATTATTGCTCTGTATATTCATACTTCCCATTAATTTCTATGGTGGTCATTTTGATGAGTGTAACTTATTTTTAAAGACCATTTAACCTTTTCTAATCATGTCCATGATTTGTGCGTATGTGTGTGTGTCATGTAGAAAGTGCCATAAAAGTCACCAAGGTTTGCAAAATTCTGATTGTCACAACACAAAACATTAGTTCTGATGAAGTCACAACATAAAATGTTTCTGTCTAAAATGGCCAAAGACCACCAGAGTTAATTAAATCTCATGCATATTACATCTCATGTACAAATGGGCATTCCTGTGCATTAATATCACTTTCTAATGATGTGCAAAAATGTGCCTTGGTGAATCTCAGACCAGCACTTCATATCCATATATATTACACTCAGCAACAGACCGCCCTTGCACTGTTAAATCATTCCCCAACAGTGAAGTCACAGCATTGGCTCTGGCCCAAAATATTCCCTAACCCTCTCTCTGCCTCCCAGGTGCCCTTGTATAGCACATTTGAACAATCTGTTGTGTTTACACATACTTCTACACATACCAGGATGCAACTGTGAATATAAAATACATCTGCCTTGACATACACATACCACACAGACAAACAGTCAAATGTCTTATGCAGTCTTGAAATGTATATATATAAATAAATGTTCAGGCCTCATGCAAAGTCAGTATCCACTATTTTATCTACAGTCATTGAAAGAGAAAAAAAATTTAATTAGAATGTGAATATAAACAGTACATTCGGATTCACACCCAAGACAAATAACAGTTTTTAACAAGCTGTTTATTTTACATTAGGCTGTACAGATCCATAAAGAACTGGAACCAGGCTTAATAACTCACTTGGAAATCCCAAAGCATCTTTTGGACACATGAAAGATCCAAAGTCCTCAGCGAAGAGTCCTCGGCTCTTCTCCATGTACGGGTTTGTTGAGGTTGAGGATGAAGATGAGGAGGATGTCTGGTGGAAACTGCGCTCCGATCGATAGGCAGAGGAGTTGGTCGCACTCATTAGTGTTTAGAAGGTTTCTTTGCCTCAAATCGATATCCAGTCAGAGCTTTGAAGTGATACAGTGAGCACC